TTTATGAGAGCTTCGTAATGATGGAGTTAATAATTTCTTTAATAGTTATGGGTCTATTCAGGTTTTCTGGTCGTCCTTGAGTTCATGTCCTTAAGTTGTATTTTTTTAGGGAACTGACCATCTTATCCACGGTTTCAAACTTAATGGCACAGAGTTAGTCACACCGTCTCAGGCTTAGGAGTCTATCCTTCCAGTAATAAGCAACAAGGGTAAGTCCAAGTGCCCCATCAGCACCCCCGCCCTCCCAAATCAGGGCATGTGTTTGTCAGGGATCAGGGTTTTAGGAACTGTCTTATACTGCTCGCGAGCTAGAGGGGCAGTGGTGGAGAGGCCAGCTCCGTAGTCAAATTGCCTGGATTTCTCTCCTAGTTCCGACCTGGGCACACGTACCCTTAGTTTCCTCCTCTGTAAAATGGGTAGAACCACCAAAGCTAGCTCTCACGACCGTATGAGGATCATAAAAAGTACTTCATAAACCCCAAGGCCTCATCGTAGGGGAGTTCTCATCCTCTAAAACTTTGAACTTAACTTTTCATTTCACGAACTTTGAACTTAGGATTCTTGTGAATACCAACTCAAGGTCCAGAGCAAAAGCGCTTCCACTCTGTCCATTACCACCAACTGGTATTCACAACCACCATCTGTCATTTTTGTCTCAACCCTCTTGGTGCTCATTAGTCTAGAGCAGTAGATCTGCAAGTGGGGTCCCCGGACCGGCGGCAGCATCTGGGAACTTTCTAGAAATGCAGACTCTCAGGCTCTACTCCACATCTACTGAATCAGACACCTGGTAGGTTGGCATAACAACCTTGTGTTTTGACACACCCTTCAGGGGATTCTGATGCCGGCTCCATGTGTGAGAGCCCTAAGTTCTTAAAAACCACAGGACACTACCCACGATCCTCCTGAGTCCTGAGGTGCTTTTAAAACATGCTTACTCCCCGATGATCAGTGAAGGGCAAAATGATAATCATGCAGGCAAAGGAGTGGGAAGAGATAAACAAACATTATAGAAGTGAAAGCTGAGATCATTTTAAAAGATCAATGGACAGAAATGGCAAATGTTGCCTGTTTGTGTGCGGTGACTCATTCAATGATAGGAACCATTCTGAAAATACTGAATCAAGCAGCATCTGAGCTGCAGTCCCCGCACAACAGGCAAGTTATCGGGACGCAAGGAAAAGGATTCTCAGAATTCCAAGAAAAGCGAACGTAGGGCCACAGGCTTGGCATCAACACTGGAAGCTCACTGGCTTCATGGACATTCGGGAGAACGCTGGGCACCTATGGGTTGTGCTCGCGCTCAGGGTGGAATGCTAGCTCGCAGTTAGGGATGTTTCCACAGGTTAGAGGCTCATCCGAATCTAAAAAGTACTGATGCTTTGGCCCATATCAGACAAGAGTAAGCTAGCCAGTTCTCCTGGACCAGGCCAGGAGAGAAGCCAGCCAACTCAACAGCTTTTCTGTACGGATGAAACCGGTCTATTTTAGAGAAAAATAGAGAGGGAGAGAGAGTGTAAGAGAGAGAGAGATGCCTGGTGGAAAAGTGCATCAGCAAGAAGTGATGTCAAGTTTTAAACCTTTGGAGGACCAAATCACATTCCCACTTCCATAAGCTTAACATCTAACATGTAACTTTGGCTCTACCAGCAAATGGATCCATGAACCACTGCTGAGAAACCAAATACTTCCTCTGCAATGACTGTATAGTTAAAATTCAGCATTTAAAATGCATAACCCACACCCTGCCCCTGAGATCCAGATTCATTGGATTGGGGTGGAGCCCATTTTTAACAAGCTCCCCAAGAGATACTGAGGCAGATGGTTCCAGACCACAGAGCCATTTGTCATTACCAGAGGAGTCAGAATCGAGAGCAGTACTCAGTCGCTGCACACATTTCACAAACATCGCTGGGGAAAATGCAGGCTGAAACCAAAACACCACCCGCCAGAGCCCCAATTTAGCATTTGTTCCCACAGCACAGATCAGGGAAGTCAGCAGTAAATGAGTAACGTGTTACATAAGTTGCTTTTCTGTATGCAGAACCTTAATTCACCAACGAGAAGTTAAAATCATATAAAAAGCAACAGCCCACCCCCAAAACAAATGCTGGGAAGGCGAAGCCAGGATCTCCCCAGCCCCTTCTGGGAGCCAAGGATAATCCCTTCTCTGTGCTGCAAATCCGACTGGATCACCTTGTGCCGCTAGGCACCAGATCCTTTGGTGGAGGTGGGGAAAGGTGGAGTGAGGGAAATGGGGAGGAAGACAACAGTCAAGTTTCCACATGGGCATGGACACTGGCTTCATCGAGACTTTTCTCTGGTTGAAAACATAAGTGGAGCCATGTTTTACTTGACTACACCTCTGACCCCTTGCTGGCACGTTCTGGAACCACAAAACTCCTCTGTCTTGAGTCTTATCTAAGAACCCCGAACCACCTTCTCTCTTTGGTTAAGGATTCCCAGTCTTTTCTTTTCCCCAGCTATCCTAAGACCTAAGATACTAAGCTAGTTCTAACTAGAATGTTAAAGGCTGACAGTGCTTGGAGAATTTATCAGCGCAGTGACCACAGAGGATGTGAATGTGGGCATGGCAAAGCTATACCATGTATGTAATATACATGTTACTTCTTCCACTGAACCTCTCAGGAACCTCTCAACACTGACCTGGAGCCATCCACTCTCATCTTACTGGGAGAAGTCCTTACCTATCTTTTTATTGCTCCAAGCACCTAGTGTGGTGACTAACCCTTAGGAAGTGCTAAAAAAAAAAAAAAAAAAGCATTGAATTGACTTAAATTGACATCTGATGTGAGCCTTAATTGCCACCCCCATTTTGCCACAGAGCACGTTTCAAAATGCATTAGAGTCACCTGGGGTGCTTGCTAAAAACCCATCTTCTGGGCTCCACCCCAGACTTAATAAGTCAGACTCTATGGGACCGTCATTTTTAACAAGGTGCCAGGTAATCTTAGACACATAAAACATGAGAACGGCAGCTTTAACCTTACAGGGGAATCTCAAGGACACCAATACCATGGAATGTAATTAAGCCAAAGAGCCCTTTGAGAATGCCCAAAACAGAACAAAATAGAAGTAGGTAGCTTCCTCCTCTCTGTCCAGGTACATGCCCAAGTAGAGAGCATTCAACATCGGCGAGAAAAATGAGGCCAATAAGAGACCAGAGACAAGAAAGGTCTAGAGAAGCATTCTGGAGTTAAGAATGGGATTTAACAAGGCCACCTCGGATCCCAGCAGGCTCATCCTCACCCTCCCACCCTGGTTGCGGGGTACCGTGCCCCATCGGCAGATCATGAACCAGAGGGCATCGACGAGGCCCAAAATGGAGAGCAGATGGCAAGGAGCTCTGCCCCACTTTGGAAAGTCATGTGGAATGAGAGGTGCACCTCCATCTAGACTGCTCTACAAGCCTGGCTTCTCTGCTTCACCCTGCAGGCTGGTGGCTCCTCACACTCTTGGGGCAGCCACATTTTGAGCCGGGCAGAGGACTGCTACCAGCCAGGGTGCGGGGCATCATGCGCAGGTTCCTTGCATCCACACCCAAGAAACCTCAGAAGTTCCCCTCACCAGCCGTCCTCCCCGAGACAGGGAATCCCTCTCCCGTAGGCAGCTGTCAGGGGAACGTCAAACATGGATGTTTATGCCAGGCCTCATTGACACAAGCCCACTCCTCCCCGAGAGATGAATTTTTAAAACAAACAGTTTTTACGTATGTTAGCAGGCAGAGTCATGTCAGCATCAGGGATCCCCAGACGGAAACGTGAGTCAATCTGGGGCAGACACTGCTAAATAAATCTTGTTTGGGTGAAATTCCTCTCTCTGGAGAAAGAGGAACCTCAAAGCAGATCGCTCAGATTCCCTGGCAAGATTCCCTAAAGACGCCCCAGCTCTCTGCAGCGAGGCATGCCCTGAGCACTTTGCACTCTGAAGTCACCATCGCTCTCCTGTGCACTTGCCCCCTCCTGGGAGTTCTGAGCCCGTCCCACCTGCGTCCCATACCCCTACGCCCACATACACTCAGGTTCCATCCAGGGCATCAGATGTCCCTTCCCTGTTGGGCCCGGGTTGTCCACGCTCATCCCGAGGCTTAGGTTCTGGCAGCTAAAGAGAAGAATGCCACCACCTAGACACACAGGTGTCTGAGAAATGAGCGAGGGGAGGGAACGCGTACAGATGGCTAACCTGGAAGATCCGGGCCACTAAGGCTTAGTCAAGGAGTAATTTCACTATTAAGGATATGTCAGGTTTGGGAGCTTTAATTACCTGCGTCATTGCCTCCTCTTTCCTTAACTTTGCCTGTAGGCACCTGGTAAAACGGAGGAATTCTGTAACCTTTGCTGGGTTGCTTCCAGGGTGGAAGAAGAAGGTGCAAACCCAACGAATTAGCAGAGGATATGGTTGGGGCAGCATCCAGGACCTCTACAGACATGGGGCCAGATCCCCCAGGCCAGCAACAGATGAGGCGTGAGAGGCTCCAGCTTAAGGACGGGTTTGGAGAATTTCAGTCCAAACTGGGTCTGAGAAGAGGGGCAGACCCCACCTTTCTGGGCTACACTGTGGAAGGCTCAATGAGATTGAAAGCATGCTCTTCCCTGGGAAGTGCATGCGACCCCAGAGAGACAGTGGCCCTCTGGGGACATGAGTCTCGGGTCCCAGCGGGTGAGGACTTGGGAGCTGCCTTCACAACAGAGGCTCGAGAGTGGTTACCATGGCCCTGGGTATGTTCAAGTAGTCAGAAATTTTCAGCCCAATTACAGGCCTTGGCTGGAGCACCAGTGGCTTGGCCTCCCCCCATGCACAGGTGTCTCTAACCAGTGTGGGCCTATGACCAAGGCCACACGGCCCTCGGTGAGAGAGACAGAAGGAGAATTACTACCTAGCTAAGAGTCAAGGTTGTTGGGGTGGGGGTGGGGGTCTTATGTAGCTTCCTAGGCTGCATGAAAAGCCCCAGACACAGGAGGGAAAGACAAGCCACGTACCGAGCCCGTTCTCTGCCAATGCCCCATGGTTGACACCACATTCGGCCAGTTCTTGTTCTCCTACATCATTCAAATCCAAGCCAGGCTGGTGGGACCCGTTTCCAAAGTGCCTCTCGTCCTTCTCGGAGCCGGCATCCCCATTCTCCATCCCGTTCTGAGCCTTTTTCAGAGGCATTATCTGCAAACCGCTGGGGGTAGTCCTGTAAGACACCGTCTTGGCGGCCCTGTCACCTCCCGCAGGGGGCTTGGCTGAATAGCCTTTTTTTGGCTTGGACAGGGAAGGGTTGATTCGCTTCCTTTTATGGGAAGTCCCTTTGCTCTTTCCAGATTCTGAAGGTCTGTGGGAGAGTTTCTCAACCGATGGGCCTCGGCCGTCACGCAGGAGCTTGGAGGCGCTGGCCTGCTTCCCTGACTTGATCCTTTTGTCCTTGGACATGTGCAGCCCGTTGAATTCGTCGATAAACTCCTCACAGTGCAACAGATGGTGCTCTGGCTCCCACGTGTCCTCCGTGCTTCCGTAGCCTTTCCATCGGATAAGGTACTCCCATTTCCCTTTCTTGTTCTTCCTCTTGTCTACAATCCTTTCGACCTGGGACACAAGATGAGAGAGCCAGAAAAGAGAGAGAGAAAAAAAAAAAAAGGAGAGAGGAAAGAAATCAGTCCCAGGCAACAATAGCACAAAGCCCACACCCAGGACAGAAGCACCTGCCCAGCCCTGGGGCGAGCCATTCAACACCGGAAGCTGACACTTCCAGGAGTGTCCAAGAAGGCTAGTTTATTTTAGGACACCACTGAATGGAACCAGAGGCCTCGGCCGTCCCCTATGACAACCATGTGATGCAATGCCTGGCTGGTGGCATCTGCCTGTCCATCCAAGGCTTACTCTTGCTTGAAATCACAGTGCGAACTTTCACTAAAGGTCTTTATTCTTTTCATTGCACCAAAGTAAAATCAGACATATAAAGACCAATTTGGTGTGACTTTTTCACCCTTACTTATGGTAAGTAACATTTATGGAGCACTTACATGGTAGGCACTATGCTAAATGTATCCTTATTTATAATAATACAAATGCTTAGTCACACTCATTGGCCAGGTACTAAATGCCAGGCATGGATGGTCCCATTGCATTTTCCCTGACGATAACCCAGTGCAATAGGTATTCTTTCTACCCCCGGTCTATACTGAGGAAATGAGGGAGATCAGGTCACTCAACCAAGTCCCAAGCTGGTAAGGGCAGAGCTGGGATTTGACCACTCTCACCTCCAACTTATTTCCTTAATCACAAGCTACAAAAATCTTCCATACTGACCCACACTGATTTGAATTGACAAAGCCCAATATCCCTCCCTGCCCCCTCCCACAGTAAGCTCCCCCAGCCTACAATGCAGGGCTAAGAGGTGAGACCTGAACCTCTATCTGTCTGGGTCTAAAGCCATGTGCTACTGTCTATGTACCTTCAAAGGTACGAAAATCTGCCCTGTCTTCAAGGATTCTCATGGAAGAACACACTTAGAAAAAAGCCAGTCCTGATGCTAATAACTGGTCCGTTGAGGGGAAGAATACATGAGGGTTCATTTATTATTATTTCAACTTTGCCTTAGATGTGAAATTCTTTAAATTAAAAAAAAAAAGACAGAAAATTCCCAATACTCTACACCCAAAGAGCTAAATTTTAATGAAAAAGTGAAACAACTACGTTCAAAAGTTCATTACATTTCAATGTCAACATAATGGAATTCTGGCCAAGTGAAATTAATGAGTGAGGAATATACCCTTGAAACTCATGAACAGAAAAACCAGGTCAGAAGGGAGAAGTGAATACAGGTATAGTTGATCATTTTTCAAGATGGGTACCAAGTGCATGAGGGTTCATTATATGACTGTTTACGTGTACATGTCTGAATATTTATGTTTAAAAATTTCCACAATAAAAAGTAAAAAAACGTTGAAAAGTGAGATTGCCTCCCAATGGCTGAAGTACAACAGAGGCTATGCAAAATAATTAAATGATTTTCACTGCTTTGCACTTAATAAATATGCAAATGGCTAGGCCATACTGCCTCTTCATAACACTGCTTCTTCAGAGACAATTTAAATGGTTTCCTTAATTGATTTATCTACAATCAAATTGGCCTATTTCTATTAAAATTCCTTTCCTTACAAAATGCTCTGTGAACATCTGTTTTAGATTTATTACATAATTTTTAGATGTATCACACAAACTCTATAACACTTTAAAAAAGTAAAACCATGCCAAACTAATCCAACTTCCCAATCTCTGGATCAAGGAATGGGGCAGGTTGAGTTTTAATTTGTGATGATGCTTCAGAAAGTCAGGAGTGTTTCTGGAAGAGTCTGAAGCCTTGCACATTTGGAGGTCTTTGAAGGGGAAAACGCTCTGCAGGTTTATAGAGGGAGGAAGGTGAACAGCACCCTGGCCCTACCTGAAAGAGCAGCATTCTCAAGAACACCAACCTAGGAGTATCAGAAGAAAGCCCAGATATTTCTCAGGAGCTAAGGGATTTGTGTTGGCATGGAGGTCTCCAGCTTCAGAAAGCATATGAAGAAACTTTTTCCCCAAGAGAAACTTCTTCCCCAGGATGAAGCAGAAAACTATGTTAGACAAACAGCGAACACAATGGATACATGGGTAGGTGGATGAATGAATAGATGGGTGGATTGTGGGATGGATGGATGGATAGAAAAATGGATGGCTGGTGGATGGATGGACACATGGGTGGAAACTGGGATTGTGGGTGAATGGAAGGATGGGTAAATGGGCAGATGACTGGATTCATGGGTGAAAGGGAGGGTAAAGAGGTGGGTTCAGAAATGGATGGGTGGATGGCACTCACTCATCAAAACAAACCTAGTATAGGGCTATGGAACAAGACTATCTGGTTTAAACCTCCTGTAAGCCTTTTATTATGTGTTCTTAAGCAAGTTAAACCTCTTTAGGCCTCATATGACTCATCAAGCAAGGGGGAAATAACAGCACCTACCTCACAGGGTGGTTGTGGAGAATATACAAATAAGTAGTTTTTCATTCCTTAGTAAAGGTCACTTAATCTTGCATATCCTCCTGAGAATACAAACCTTGGTGGTATCTAAAGACAGCATGTTTCTCCACCCTGCAGCATATGACCCCCTAAGGATATCAATTCCTCCCTGGGAAGGAGAGTCAACCTACTTACTTAAGTCCTTCTAAGTATGGGAGACAGCTATGCCGAGCAGCCTTACTCAAGAAGACTGGGGAGTCAGCAAGGGCACAGTGTCCACACAGCTACTGAGGGCCACACTGCGGGTGGGGGGCTTCGTTTCTTCCCTCCTCGCTACTCGAGGATTGAGTCACAGAGTCACAAATCCAAACAGAAAGGTTACTGCCGCCACCTCTGGTCCCATCCACAAAGCCACTGGGTGGCTTGACAGCCATTTCTACTCAAATTAACCCAATACCAACAACAAATAGTATTTCTTTAAAGATTTTATTTATTTATTTAGAGAGAGAGAGAGAGAGAGTGTGTGTGCACAGGTGAGCAGGGGGAAGGGCAGAGGGAGAAGGAGAGAATCTCAAGCAGACTCCACACTGACCATGGAGCCCAATGAGGGGCTCAATCTCACCACCCTGAGATCATGACCTGAGCTGAAACCAAGAGTTGAATGCTTAACCTACTGAGCCACCCAGGCGCCCCCAACAACAAACAGTATTAACAAGACCATCCCTAATAGCCTGATGTGTGCGGGGAAACTGTTGGCTCTGCCACTTTCTATCCACATGACCCTAGGCAAGTTGCCCAACTTCTCTGGGCCTCAGTCTCCCCATCTGTAAAACAGGTTCACAAAGCCTATTTCTTTCAGGTTCACAAAATGAACTGCTTTTATTGAAAGACCAAAATGCTCACAAGGAGCTTAGAAGAAAGCTGGCTCCGAATTTCCCATCATACTTGGAATCTGTAATCTCCAGGGACCTAATTTCCTTCTTTACATCCCTGTATAGGTTTTCTGACCCTCTTTTCCTCTTCTTCTCAGGAGATTCTCAAACAGAACGAGAATTCTAATTTGTGCTGGTGATAACAAAAGCCCACATAATTTAGGACGTGATCTTGCTAAGATTGCAGCACTCTCTGTCTGGGAAATCCTTTCTTCCCCTTAAGGTCTCCCAGCCTCTTCCACTATCCTCTAACACCTCACACCTGCTGAAAACACAGACCTAGGCCTCCAGGTCCACCCTCCCCCCTCACCAGCGCAAGGCCTCCTACACTCCCTAAAGTCCAGTCCCTCCAAATGGAGACAGTCATCAATTCCCTCCCCTTGTAATTACTGACAAACACATGAATGATATTAAAAACTTGTGTGTTCACACACACCCACCAGCTCCTTTCTTTCAAAGATAAGCAATCTGAGACCTTGAACTATTTCTCAGAGTTCAACCAAATCATTAATTAACATTTACTCCCTGTGATCCCAGCCAGCATGAGACACTCTCCTAGGGCAGGCGAAGGCAGGGAGCTTCCAATGCAATTATGACCACCACCGCAATGATGAGCGGATGGCTTTCTCATTAGGAAAAGTAATGATGATAATCACCTTTACTGGTACATGCTGTTCCAGGAACTGTGCTGAGCACTCGTGAGGTTTTAGACTTCACCTTCATACCCAGGCCAGCAGCTGGGCATGACTCTCACCACTGGACAGGTGAGAAAGCTGTGGCTCAGAGAAGGTAGGTAACTCTCTCTGGATCACAGAGTCAGTAGGTGGTGAGTCAAGATGGGACCCCTCGCTCGTCAGACTCCTCAGCTGGAGTCCTCAGCCCCCGGGACACACCTCACCAGTGGGAAGCCATCGGGCTTGGGGGGGGGGCACACAGCCCTTAAATAAGCCAGCATGAAGTAACATGTGGTGACAAATGACAGTGAAGAGAAGGTGAGACAGGAAACAGTGATGGAGGGAACGGGGCCACTCCGGATCGGATGGGCAGGAAAGGCTCCTGCGAGAAAGATCAAGTTAAGCTAACACCGAACAGGGCCTTCGGAGGTGGAAAAAATTTGAACCAGGGAGAGGCCTTTCCAAGCAGAGAGAGGTCACTCCCCACCTTCCTCTTCAACCTTCCACTAGCAGGCCAGTCAAATAATACCACCACCTCACACGCATCCAGCATTTATAAAGTGTCAGCCGCTGCTGTATGTGATACCTATAGACTGACTATATATTATACACACGAACTCAATCAATCTTCACAATCTTCACAATCTTCACCCCAACGAGGCAGGTCATTTTATTCTCTCCTTTTTTTAAGAGAGGTTAAAACTGAGGCACCCAGAGGTTAAGGCCCTTGGCCAAGGCCCCACCTCCGACTATCAGCAGAGAGCTAAGACTTGGCCCAAAGCGTCTTGGCTCCAGACCCCACGCTTTCAGTGAGTGCACTATACCCACCACCCACTTCTGTCCAGTGGGCCCAACCTGGCTGAGGACCCAACCTGACAGTGTATCTACAGCTTAAGATGCTTGCCCTCAGTGCTGCCAAGGTCACAGAAGACCTAAAGCACCTTTACGTGCCTTTGGAGTAGCCTCCTGGGCCTGACTCTC